TAGATACCATGAGGTGTGACACCAGTGTCAAGGCAAACTGCTCAGAACCAAGGAGAAACACATGGTCTATTTATTTAGAGTGCAAGCCTTTATATGCTTACTCAAAGGTAACAACCATTGTGTTTAATAGACTTCCTCCCAGGTAAGTATGCATTAGACTGTGGTCAGAAATGGCTGGTGTTTTCCATATCAATGGGTCCACTCTGTGGCTCAGTTCTGGCTTTTAGCTGAGACTCTAAAGACATTATCCAAGGTGCTGAGAACTATCCCCAAAGTAGGTTCAATACCTTGAATAGCTCTTTTAATATTCAGATCAAACCCTGGGGTGGATTCAACATCCCACATACGTGGCATCATCTCCTACAAACAATTTTATAACTATTCAGACTTAAGTCTAATTCAGTCTATGACCAGGTAAGAGGGTATAGAGGTGAGTGAGTATTGGATTGAAGCCTGTTTTCGTTTCTAGGATTGTATGGTCTCATTTCAGTTGATGATGGAACAAAGGACATTTACAAATAATAAATCACAAAATACAATAAATTAAAGTGTAACAAATATGACAGAGTGAAGTGTAAAAGCAGTAGCTTTTATCAGACAAACATGGAGACCAGATCTGGAGCTTGGATTATTAAAATACAACCTAATTCAGCCATTGAGAGTCTACACTTTTTTTAATAAAAGGAAGTCATGTTAAAAGCCTGGCTGAATAACAGAGCCAGCCCTATCATTAGCCATATCATGTAGCCATTTCATGTTGCTAATGTATCACTAGCCATATCACGTAGCAGAAGTAAGGGAGTGCAGAAAGCTCAAAGGTATTGAAGGGCAGAATTATGTGTGTCACAGGCTATTTGTTGTTGTTGTTGTTAACTGCCTTCGTGTCGATCTCAACCCATGGGGACCCTATGGATGAGACATCTCCAGCCCCCCTTGTCCCCTACTGCTCAGCCCAGCTCCTACAAACTCATATTTGTGGTCTCTTTAATAAAGTCCATCCATCTAACATTTGGCCTTCCTCTCTTTCTACTTTCCTCCACCTTTCCTAACATTATTGTCTTTTCCAACGATTCATGCCTTCTCATGATTTTTCCAAAGTACAACAGTCTAAGGGCCTTTGCAGACTGCCAGAAATAATGCAACTTGAATCCACTTTAACTGCCCTGGCTCATTGCTAAGGAATCATGGGAACTGTAGTTAATTGTGGCACCAGAGCTCTCTGACAGAGAAGGTTCAATGCCTCAGAAAAAAACTACAATTCACATGGTTCCCTAGCACTGAACCAGGGCAGTTATAGTGGACTCCAGCTGCATTATTTCTGGCAGTCTGCAAAGACCCTAAGGATGTTATCACATGGGGAGTTGTGGGGAGAAAGTGGAAATAAA